ATTAAGCGAAAATTATAACAATAAGTCATATCAGTCTCGTCTTGCTCGCTGGGCTGATCGTCTGCTACCTTTTGACTTTGAGGTTATTCACGTCCCAGGGGTCACGCTGGGGATCGTCGATTACTTATCACGTTATCCTACATTTCCAGCTCCTGCACCCTCTAAATACGACGAACTTTTTGTTGTTAAGTCAATTGAGGCATTCCATCTGGCCCTCTCGTTTATTAAATGTTATAGTTCCTCTCCGGGGTATCAAAATTGTGAAACGCCGCAAGAGGGCGTTCAATTTGTGTCTCAGTTTAATAACGCTTGTTATTTACGTCATTCGCCGCTTGAGCGTGATGTTAATGTCCCTCAATTTTTCAACCAATCATCTTGCGGTATGCAAATGGATTGCTCGCGTTGTTTGTCACAAGAGGGCGTCGATTTATGCGCTCAAGATTTCAACCAATCAGGGACCGGTATGCAAATTGATTGTTGCAAACCAGATGACGTTTCAGAAAATCACTGTCTCCGACCTGAATTTTTAGTAAACAGTCCATTTATTCAAACCATTCTCTTTAATATTCAAATCAACATGACAACACCTCAAAACAATAACCAAACTCCTACTGACTCAAACACTACCATCACGCAACCGGACTCTATGACCATACTACAATTGCTGAGCAGGCAGAGATACAAACATTTGTGGAAACTTTTCCAGTCCGCTCTCCCAACTTTCGTCGACCTAGTCCGAGGCCGCAAATACAATCCTGCCAACTCACCCGCATGTCCAGATTGGACCAGATTCGACAACGAAACAGATTACGGGAACGGACCGCTATAACCCGCTTCGTCGCCACAAGAACTACTACTAGAAAGGACGGTCATTCGCAACTACTAAAGGCAATGAGGTGATGTCACCTGTCAAAACCAGGAAGAAACAACATGGCCGCGAAGATTGGGGTCTTAGCGGTGAATGGGGGTAAGCCTCTCCTCTCCTCATCCAAAAAGGAAATTGTGGGCTTGATGCAGACCTGTTGGCAGAATTAACAGCGGAGGATCGTTTTCTCGGCCCCATGAAGCGAGCCATCATAAATAAGGACATCACCTCCTTCAACAAGCTTGGTGCGTATATGGCCCAGTTTTGGCCTACAGCAGCGGTGGTTAATAACTGTGTAGTTATTGACAATAAATTGACCATTCCTGAACCTCTCCGACAAGCCGTGCTCACTCGCCTTCACAGATCCCACCCGGGACAAGAGGCAATGATGACTTCCTCCGAATACCTCTGGTGGCCGTTTATGAAGCGGCAAATCATCGAGACGTGTGAGAAGTGTCGTGAATGCACCCTGTTCGGTTAGAATCTTGAGCCCGCGTCAACTTTTAATACTGCGAAATCTCTGCCCGTACTATTTGGACCTAATCAGGAGTTACAATTAGATTTTGCTGGCCCGATACTTGATGAAAAGGGGTCTAAGATCTTTCTTTTAGTAGCGATTGATCGGTTCTCTAACTATCCTTCAGTTCTAATTTCTAAAACCACTGGGGCTAAGAAAGTTACTAAACTCCTTGATTCCTATATTCGTATTGACGGTTTCCCTCGTTCTATCAGAACAGATCATGGCTCAGGTTTTAATAATAATTTGGTGCAAGAATTCTGGTCTGAAAGAGGTATTAAACATATCCTCTCACCGGTCGAAGATCATCGCGGCAGTGGGTTGGTCGAACGAGCGATTCAAACAATCAAGAGTAACTGGGTGTGGCGAAACTAGATCCTAATTTCAAAGTCTTAAGGATACGATTCATCAAATACTTGAAGATATTTGCATGAGTAATCATTCGGTGCTTAAGAAATGCCCTTTTGAATTGCATTTCGGTCGTAAACCTAATACTTTATGGTCTCAGACACGTAATAATGTTGTTCAATCTGATACTTCAGCCCAAGGATTGGAGCGCAACCTCCTTACACCAGATCAGATCACCAGCAACGACTACAGTTGGGACAGGGCAAAAGTTGTTCCTCGCGGCAGTTCCAGTCCAACTCTTCCAACTCGCTTCAAACCCTTGTTTTCGTTGGACGGAAATGTGGCAGACAGTGAACCCTACAAGGCGCTAGCGGATCTTGCTCGGGCGGCAAATAAATGGTCGCAATTCAGGCGTAATCTTCCCCCAGATGCAGGGAAATTGGTACTCAAGGAGCTCGCAACCCGGCATTCGGACCTCGCCCATTCTCTCAAGTTTGGTCTCAATAGCAATACTCTTCGCTTCTCGGCAATTGCCTCACCTCCGGGGACGCAAGTCAGCTCCAGGCGTGCACCAGTTGTGCAACCTACCCGTCTCTCGAGAACAAGTAAATTAGAAAACCTTCTACTTTCTGATCCTGGCCGAGTTAAAGTCTTTAGGAAAATTATTGATCGCCAATCGGGGAAACCTCTGGATAAACTAACCAAGTTTAAGATTGTTCGTGTTACGGATCATACTTATATTACCGACAAGGGAAAAGTCTACCGGAAAAGTCATATCTGTCTCAAACCTAATTATCAGTCTGCCATTTTAGTTGCTCCGAACACTATAGGTGATCGCGTCCAAGCTTCGGGTTCAACTTCTTGAGGAGCGGCTAAACGACCTGTCACGCGGTCGCAGCCTGTGTTACTGGAACAACGGCCAAACAATCCCCCTCTCTCTACCCCGATGGTGGATCTCACTGCTGACTCTTCCAGTCAAAGTTCAATTGGGTCAAACAACGGTCGTCAGGTGGCTCGAGATTCGGTTACTACCAGAAAATGCCAGAGGTTTCAGTGTGATTCGCGTCCGGTTTGATTTGCTCGTCAGTTTGCCTCGACGTCGACGCCCCATTCCTCCACTCATGCTACTCACTCGCGCAAAACTGATTCTACTCATCAACCAGTCGAGTCGTTCGTTTCGCCTCAACCGGGGACCTTACATCGCGCTGTTTCTTCCTCGTCTACTCGTCCTATGGAGCCTCCTGAAGTTAGTACATCTAGTCCTGAAATTATGGTTTCGTCGCCGGAAAAGGAGGTATCAAAAGATTTGAATCAGCCCTCATATCGGGATAAATTTCCTAAACCAAGACAATATTCGAACTAAGCATCAAACTAATACAAACTAACAAAGTATATAACCTTAAAACAAGGGTACGGAGGTCATTTGATGCGCAGTTCCGTTTGCATTGTTTTGGCTCAAACTGCTTGAACTTTATTATTATTCAAGTTCGGACAGACAGAAATAATTGGAAAAAAGGCATGCAAAATTGAATTTTTACTCGACTTTGAGACACAAATTCTGTTGCTCAAATTAAACTTTTGATTGGAAAATTTGCTGAAAAAAGTCACTCAAAACTTTTCATTCAATTAAACATATCCGAATTTAATCGCAACTCTCAACAGATTGTTAAGTTCATTGTGAATGCCAAATTTTCGGCATTTCTTTGAGTTGCAATCTCAAACCATTTTCATTTCCTGAACGGCTCATTAAGGGGCGGTGATCATTTTTTCACTGAGTTCGGCACAAAAAGCCGTGTTGGATCTACTTAACAATCGCCCTCCCTTTGGTATCTACTTAAAAAATGCCACCCCTAATCATAAAAGCAGTAAATTAGCACTGAGCTTTCTATTGAGAATTATAGTTTTACTGCATTCTGATTGGTCGAAAATGCGTTATTTTAATCTACTTAACAATTGCACCCCCTTTCTTAAAAGGAGGAGGGGGATTGTTAAGTAGATCCGCCGTGTTATATAGCTTTTCACAAATTTGACGGACAAGATTTTTCTATCGGACAAATTTGTCGGACAAGTTTAGTTATCGGATCGACAAGAATTTATTTATCGGACAAGAAATATAGTTAATGCTAAATTGTTGGCAAAACTGTTGACCTTGAGCAGTTTAATCGGTCAAAAGTTATGGCATTTTAGTTTAATTAGTTTTTTGTAAACAATTTTTACGCGTGGAAGTTGATAGGAAACTAAAATCCAACGCCGAAATGAGCAGTTTTGAGTGATTAACTTCGTTCAGATTCGTTGACCGAAAAGCGGGTGCCGGACATCAAGCCGACGGGACTTGAAGCCGAATCGTAAAATAAGGGACTTGAAGCCGAACATTTCGTCGAAAGATTATGAAATATGATTAATTTGAAAACTGTTTTGAAGAATTTCTCAATTTCATCAGCTTGCTTAACAAGTTATTGGCTTTTTTGGTTATTTTTGAGCCTCTAATTGATGTTTAGGAATATAAAAAATTAAAACATTGTTCAAGGGGTTTTTCATGTGTATAATTTATGCATTTCAAAATCCGGCTGATCTAACTTTCTGATGCCACTCTTAAGTGGTGCATTGTCATGAAGAACGCTTATGATGATCTAAACTTGCCTGTTTTTTTTTTCAAAATAAACTTTTTAATGATAAAAATTTAGCGTTTTTAGGTGCTTGTAATGTTTAAATTTCGGCTTGAAGTCCCGTCGGCTTGAAGTCCGGTCGGCTTGTTGTCCTAGACCCCCCGAAAAGCACATTGCTAACAATTTGGCATTAACTTTAATTCTAACCTTCAAGGTGAAACTAATTAGAAGTAGTTCTCTGAAGTTTCTCGAAGCCTTTTTGTCGGCGTTTTATACGCTCTTTTCTGTAGAAAAATTGCATGTCGGGTAGCTGAATTAAATTTTCTTTTTAAGCTGAGGGCTTGAAGTTATATTTAAAAAACGGACTTCATAAAAAATGCAATCATTTTGGTTTGCTCTTTTGACAGTTCAAAAGCAATTGTTAAAACTCAGTTGCATTTTCAACGCTATTTCAGTCTCAAGGTCAGGAATTGTTTCAAAATTTTCAGACAGTGTCCGACAAATATGTTAAAAGCTATAAAAAATCTAATTAAACTGAAAAGCGCCGTATGGGACAGATTAAGTAGCTCAAGGTCGCAAATGTTGTCTACAGTTTGGTGTTAACCGTCACTCAGTTGATTTTTTTATGCGGAATTTTGGTAATATTTTGGTCATCACCTTCCTTTGATTGTTCATTCAAATTCATTGATCTGCTCCCAAATCTGTATAAATTGGAAGATCAACCATGTTTAATATTAGACCTACTATAACTTTCAATCGTTTGTTCAGCTACCAAAATTACTTAATTGCAGTTTCGACGATATCACTGCTTTTGGCAGTTGGCGATCGCGTATGGATCCAACTCATTGATGGTGATGTGATCATGCGACGCGGATCACGTTCTGAACTACCGGATCCTCAATTCAGCGGGGTCTGCTTCACATCTTGGGTGTGGCTGATCAGCGCCAGAGTTTTATTAGTCGCATTGAACATCAGCTTCTTCACTGCCATGTGGGTGATACCGAATGTTCTAGAAGAATTTGTCCCTTGCAGATATGAGATGAACGTGAGATACACGAATTGGTTGGCTCACAGATTCACGGGAGTTTGGCTGATTGCAGTACCGGCCGTTTTACATGTGATCGTTCTTTTGTTGCCGACTGTCACAGATACAATTCCCATGGAACTTAAGTTCGACGGTTTTGATTGGTCGAATTGGTGGGATCCTTTCGTGAAAACTTTTCAGAAGTACGTGACTTATGAAAACGTTTTTCTTACCTGGGACGAGATTTTCAGACTTGTTTTGATTATTTTAATTTTCTGTTTTATGCTACCTTTGAGTCGGTCGAACTGGATGTTAAGGAAGAGCTATTCGATTGCTATGTCCATGCATGCTTTCGTGGGGTTCGCTTTCATGGTCGATATGGTCCGCAAAAACTCACACCCATTATGCTGGAGATTCAATTTTCCATTTATTATTTTATACTCATTAGATAGAATTTTTGCGACTTTCTTCTACAGAGTGAACAGATTTTCAGTTCACAGAATAATTGAATGCAGTGAGAGTACGTATATTTTACTGGGTAGACTAGAAGGACTGGAATGGAAGCAGCAAGGATGCGCTGATAACTTCTGGCTCCTCCATCGATTCCATAAATGTCACCTTTGCACACCTATTTTCCAGAGAGCACATCCATATACAGCCTTCCAGAATGCCCAATCGTACTGCCAGCATGTATGGAACGTTGGCTTTGTCATCAATACAAACAAGGCAAACAAGAACTCGTGGTCCCTGTGGCTCAAGGAAAGGTATTATGGTTTATCAGACTACGAACATAAGCAAAACTAATAATTTTTACGACAGGAGACGGGGACACTTGATCATGTCAGTCATTTCAAATTTTCCCATAAATAGCCCCTCTACCTCAAAAAAATAACACCGAAAATTGATTGAGCTAGCTTAGAGGGGTTTTTGGTAAAAGCCATTGTTTTTGTTCTGCGTTACATATCAATGATGATTTGCAGATGTGAGGCCACCGTCCATATTCTTGCTGCTGGAGGAGACCCACACAAGAATAAAACCAAAAAGCAAAATAAATGTAGCGCTAAATCAAAAGCTGACTACAACGGTTATCTGTTAAGAACATAAGTGATGCAGGCATTTTCCCTCGTTGATTCATTTTTCTGGCCAATCTAATATTTCCTAATCCATCGTTGAATTATAAAATTTGAAGGATTCATGAAAGAAGTTTTGAGACTGTGGGACTGGTTTGTTACAGGGGAAAGCAATTTCAGAAAAAACCGAAGACCTCTGCTGCTGGAATTGTAAATCTGGGCTACGAAGAAGCGCAGGTGGGGAGGGAAGCGTCCAACTACAACATTGGTGCCTCAATTGGCATGGACACCCACGGCAGATGCCTTCAAAACCCCAACGACCCTTTCTGGCAACACTCACAGGCAAACACTGATGGCAACGTGGAAGTGTTCGAAGGGAGTTCAGGAGTAAACTGTGACCCTGCTGTTAAAACTAATCATTTAAGCAATGAGCCCAGTCCGCAATTGGAGTTTGCGTTGCGATCATGGGGTCCGTATCGATCGGCATTTTACACAGCCCAAGATTTGCGGGGCAGTTGGGGGAAGATTTTGCTCATTGCTGGCGGGTCCGGAATGGGGATGCTTCTAAGTGTCGCTGCCGTGATCAGTAGGTTTATATGATATAAACTGGTTGAAATAAAAGATGTGTAGTGCTAGATGATGCACTGGGTGATGAAAATTATATCGTCCAGTTCTACATAATCACTTGTTACCAGCGACCACGTAGGATTTTTGCAATGGATAGGTTTTCAGGAAAAAGTCGTTGACTATTTTAGATCGACCAATTTGACTTTAACTAATTCGGCTGTCCAGTAACGGATTTTCTGAAAATCTATGTATCTCAAAAACCCAAGATTGGCGCTGAACACAAGTGATTGCAGACGCGCCTTGCCAGGGAATCGACGAAACGGAAAAACGCAAAACGGAAAAACGCAATTTTATGAAATTTTCTCAAAAGTGTCAAACGACGTCTTTTGGACTGTAAGAGCTAGGAAAATCGATTTGGTCGGCCTAAAAAATCGTAGATCCATCGCCCTTTAGAAAATCGTTTAGCAACCCCCCCCACCCCGTGTCTAAGACCGTATTCTGTGAAAAACTTCTACACATGCAATTTTTCAGAAAATGTTTCAATTACACGAACTTTTGAAAAATTTGAAAGGTTTTAACAAGAAAATTTGCGCTTTTGCGGCGAGCGCTTTTTGCCTTAAAATGAGTAGACATTGGTGCCTAATAATGTAGAAACTAGTTTTATATAAAAAAAAGAAAGGTGAAAAACTGAATGCGATCGAACTACGCAAATGGTTTGGTCAGTTATTTGGTCATTTATTAGCTCTGATAAGCAATGGGGAATGGAAACCACAAAAACAGTCTCTTTATATCTCTCTTTAAAACAAACTCCATGACAACTTAGGCAACAATTTCGAACTGATTTTAGACTTTTTAGGTTACTAAAAGCCATTTGATAATGCCATAGGTGATCTTCCAGACAGAAACGGTATTGTCACCACAACCATGAAAAATTTGTATTTCGTTTATTCTGCTCGCGAGTTGGGCTTAATTCGGGAATTCTGCAAACTGTTCGCGAAAATATTGATGACAGAGTTTGCGGTAGAAAAACTCCATTTGTTCTACACTGGGAAAAACGAAAAAGATCTTCGCGAAATCGAAACTTTCTCAAGAGATAGATCGGACGTGGGGAAAATGTTAGCAAAAATCAAACCTGGAAGATGCGATTTGAATAAGTTCTTCCCTGGGCTTGATGGTTATGATCCACCCCCTCCGAAAGGACCTGGTTTAGTTTGTGCATGCGGACCGAAATCTCTCATAGACGAAGTGAAAAAAGTAAACAGGGAGTTCAAATACAGGTTGCGAATTGAAGAGATTTGAGAACTTGTTGAACAGATTTGATGACCCGATGAGCAGATTTGACAAATGATAGGAACTAAACTCACAAAAATGAATTTGATACTTGGTTGGATTGGTGGATTTTTAAACTGATAATTGTCTATAGACTCAACGCTAGTAGAGGTTCAGTTCATAGGTGTCTAACGTGGTGAAATAGTTTGAACAAACAATGCATACTTGTTTTTTTTTGCGGGAGACGACCATCCATCGCAAGCGACAATAGCTCGCAGGCGAGGACAAAGATAGTGCCAGGTTTTAAAAAGAGACTAATTGTCGCATAATAGTTTTTCAAACAATTAATTAATTTATTATTTTTTAATAATTAATTTTCTTAAATAAAAACGTTACGAAGTCGCTTTTTCTCTCATCACACGTTGAAAAAGTTGTTAAATTTCCTCAAGGTTCCAGCGTTCCGAAAGAATTCCCTTAACTTCCTAATGCGCTTCTTGAGCCGCAGCCTTTTTCTATATTGCTATATAATTACTTGAACAGTTTTTGTGTGTACTGAAGCTGGGAAAGGATGATATAAGAAGTATAAAGAGTTTTATTGGTTTTTTAAAATCTCTTAGCGAGATGGAGAAAATGGAACATAAACGGCTTCTGAAAAAGCAACGGACCTTTATCTATTGATTTTCTAGGAGATAAACTGATGCTAATATATTGCGGCAAACGTTTGAAAAACCAGGACCGCTGTTATGCGTGAAACGCGGCGACGTATGGAGATTTTTCATTGGAATAAATCCTGCTAGAACAATAAAATGAAAACGCAATTTGCAATCAGAATCCTTAATTTAAAAAAAAGCGTGGCACATCAAGAAAGCAAGGATAATTATATTTTGCACACGCTCAAAAAAAATGCAGCTCACGCATTACAGTTCACGAGCTGCAAATGTTTATATAAAGCACAAGGACTAAAATATAATAGCTGAGGGTTTCAATCTTAAAAAAATGGTTTTCAAAACAATTTCCTAATGGAATTTTTTGTTGAAAGAATATCAGAAGCAAAGACGAACTCCGGTTTGACATATATTATGTGTTTTTGCTAGCCCTCATTAGTGTACAACAGCTGCATCAGACTCAGCAGAGAGACTTTTGTAAGCCTGGCGCAGTGAGCAACTTAATGAAACAAGCGATGTTTGGTTGCAGTAGTTGATTGCAGTAAAATTCGAAATCCAATTTGCTTTTGATAAGAGTTTGAAACATTTAACAACAAAAAAAAAGTTTACCGCCTTTTAAGGAAGTATTAGGGAGTTAGTACAAGGAAAGCATTTTTACTATTTCCGCTAAATAATTACTTGAACAGGTTTTGTGGGTAATCATGCTGGGAAAGAATGATATCAGGGGCGGATCTAGGATTTTCTCGAGGGCGGGGCGGATTTTCAATAAAAAAAATCGAAAATTTTGACGACCTTTTTTTTTTTTAGGTCGACCAAATAGATTTTTTGAGCTCTCCCAAAGCACTGATTTGCCCCTATTTTGGCAAAATTTTCTGCGCCGCAGGCAATTTTTTGGAAAAAACAGTCAAAAAAGCCGTTTTTGGGCACTTTTTGAAAAATTTTGACAAAAAAATTGCGTTTTTTTGGCGCGCGCTCCCTCCCAAAATGTTAGTATATATTGGCGCCAAAGGCGGCTTTAGAAAAATTTTAGGATCGGTCGGCCAAAAATGGATTTTTGAAAAAGTATCAAAGGGGGGACCCTTTGGGTCGGCAGGGGGTCGAATCCCTGAGGGGGGGGGGGGGGGGGGCGTCCGCCCCCCCCCCCCCCCCCCCCCCCCCTAAATCCGCCCCTGGATGATATAACAAGTACTTTTATCAAAAAATTTGTAAAATAAAAAAAGAAATTGAAACGAAATTCAGCTCTAGTCCTTTTTTTGAGTCCTGGGAGCATGGGCGGATCTAGGTCTTTCTCGAGGGGGGGGGGGGGGGGGGGGCGGATTTTCGAAAATTTTGACGCCCTTTTTTTTTAGGTCGATCAGATTGATTTTCCGAGCTCTCCCAAAGCAGTAAAAAGACCCTGTTTTGGCCAATTTTTTTGCGCCGCAGGCAATTTTTGAAAAAACAGGTCAAAAAAGCCGTTTTTGGGCAGTTTTTGGAAAATTTAGACAAAAAAACGCGTTTTTTTTGGCGCGCGCTCCCCCTCAAAATAAGTATATATTGGCGCTAAAGGCGCCTGTAGAAAAATTTTAGGGTTGGCAGGGGGTTAAATCCCTACCCCCTAAATCCGCCCCTGGCTGGGAGGGTTCAAAAAGGCTTCAAAACGAGATTAGGTAATGCTAGTTAAACTAGGTAACACTGGGTACCAGCGGGAAAAAATTCTGTGGATTAGCTTGTTTTTGAGCTTGTCAGCAACTGGGTAACTGGTTAGTGATGATGTAAGTTAATCTTCTGCAAATATTTGTTTGGCTGTATTTTTTTACTTTAGTAAACGATTGAATTTCTCTTTGATGAAAATTCGTTTAACGCGTTTTAAGAAAGGTAACAGGCTGATGATACAATTTTTTGGATCATTGTGCAATTAATGAAAAGGCATTTTGTATGAGAAAATTGATATTAACACGAACAATTGAATTAATGAACACGACCACACAGTTGAGAAAAGATATTACACATTACGTTAAAAACGTTTTTTTAAATTTCCTTACTTCTGTGCCTGTTCAGAAATTAATCAGTTGGACTTAAATGACTTCACGGCAATTTTTTTCTTCGACAGCAAACGTGAACCCATCTAAAATAACGTTAACCGATCTAAAATATTGAAGTTATATTGCTTCTAATAATACTCTGTACATATTGAAGAAATTTAAAAAATATTGCCTTTTAAGGGAGGAATAAGGTAGCTGTTACACATTGAGTCACGCTATCTTATTTTCGGCCGGATAGATTCGTGCAACTTCTTAGTCTAATACCGATCTTAATCTTACTCTTATATCTCCTAGTCTCAATAGATCTAGTGTACACCGGTTTACGCGAGATATTTCCAGAATGAAAAGAACTGTATTCTAAGTTTAATTCAAATTGTTCTGGTGTTGAAACTACAAGTAGTTTCAACACTTTCCAAAAAAATAGGTTGTTAGTTTGTTGGAGTATGATTGGTTACTATTTAATATTCTATAGAGATAAAATATCATAATAATAACCAATGGTAATTACTAGTTTAGATCTGGTTCCACCCATTCGGTGTTTAGAGAGTTTTAGTTTTCCGATGTTCTTTATTGTAGTGGAGGATAGATGGTGGTGTTTTTCTTTAGAGGTTGCGAGCATATTCTTTTTTTTTCTTGTTTGGAAGAAAAGTTGTCATCACGATCGTTTCGGGAGATCGTATCATGATTCTGATCAGTTGCGATGGGTGTTGATCTGGTAGATAGGAACATTGTTATTCTCAATCTCGTCTGGGAACCGCATGTAGTTCGTCTTTGGATGCAGTGCCTGGTGACTTGGATCTGTACGTATACTTGAACATCGAGATGGTCATTGTTCTGTTTACAATGGGTTTCCTTTCCTGAGATGCCAATTCGTACTTCAAAACCATTGAGTGTAGTGATTGTAGGCAGCATGTCAGGTGGGTTTTGCCATTCCGTAGTTGGAGTGTGATTGGGTTGTCAAGTTCCTTGATGCTCGTCTTTGGGCTGTATTTTATGTATATATTGCATTGTATTATTTACATATATAAATCAAAGCGTGGATGTAGCACGGTGGATGAGGCCGGCTATAGAGCAAGCTCAGGACATCCTCTTCTGGTGGGTTAGACCAGAAGTGGGGGTATAATTTCGTGCTCTCTTTTTGGAGGGTCCTGTTTTGGTTCAACATTTCATGCTATTTTTTATCATTAGTGCTTTCTTTTGTTTTCTTAGTTTTGTCTTTTTCTCTAAAATCAATTTGTTTGTTTTGGGTTTGTCTTTCGACTTTTTGGTGTTTTGTTTTTTTGTGTTCGGACTTAAAAATAGTATTTAAAAGAATAATTTATCTAGTTCTAAGCTGGTCTTAATCCAGTTTGGGTACCGTGGGTTTTTCCTTTCTTCCTCATACTGTTAGGTTGTGGTTTTGGTTAGTTTGGATTATTATATAATTCCTTTCCGACCGGGTTAAAGGAAAATTTGAAACGTGTTAATCAGTGAAAGTTGAAACTTAAATTCATTATTTTAAACAATTTTTTGTGGGCGACCAATGCGATTTTGGATTGAATTTATGGACGAGAGTATACAAAGAAGCGTCTGTAAAAATGTTGGTATTGCTATTTGCAATTTATGAACAAATTGTATTAATTTACTACTCGAAAATTATGAAGTTTACTGCTTGATTTGAAGGTTGAAATTATTAAATTATTTTCAATTGCATGAATATTTACTGCTTTGGGGAAAGAACTTATATATTAATTTACTGCTTTGTACGGGAGAGTTTTATTGCTTCAATTGTTAGATAGGTTAATAGAAATTTATGAATTGATGAAAAGTATTTTTCTTTTTGTTTTGTAGATGATTGATGATTGTGCCTATCAAGAAAAAAGGAAAACCTTGAATAAAAATGCTTAGTGTTGTTTGAATTTATTAGTGAAATTTTGAGTTCATATTACCTAATTGTCGGTGAAGAAACCATGGGGAAAAACATCGTGGATAATATCAGATGAGGTTAGTAGTTTAGCTAGCAAACGAATGATGTGTTTAGTTTGCAGAAGTGTCCAAAGCAATTCGAAGGCTTTAATGATGTTGTGCTCTTCAGTGTTAGGTGATTGTTCATACGGTGTGTTTTGAAAAAGATTCAACAATTTGTAACTATAGCGAGTGTTATATATAAATTCTAGGTTTGGGACTTCAACGGGCTGGAGGAATTTGTGAGGGATAATTAGTGGGCGGGATTCGTCTACATTTAGGAGTTTGGTTAGGGGACAAAAGATATACATCTGGGTGATGGCATCATAATTTCAGAGGGTGCCTTGTAAGTTAGTGTCTTTAATACAATAGGAGAAGCTGAGAAAAATGCTGATGTGTATTTAGATCAGTATTGATATCGGTGGTGAGGTTGTCGTGCTGGTGTATTGAGGGTGTAATGGTGTTGAATGAATTTGTAGTAAGTGTATGTATGTGTTTGTTTAGTTAAAACATCACTTCGTGTGACAGTCCAAATCACGTTCTTTGGGTGTGAGGAAAAGAAAGGTTAGTGAAAAGTGGTTAGATTTGTTAAAGTATGAATCATAAGCATGAATATTTCGTAGTGCTCCTGAGATAACGTTGTCATACTTTTTATTTAAGATGTTGAGAGTGAAGGTGTATGGGGT